CAGGGCGATGTCGCCTACGAGGAGCGCGCGTGCGAGGGAGGCGCCTTCGCCGCCGTGGAGGTCASCGGGAGGCCCTTCGATGAGGCCTCCAAGGAAGCGGCCGTCAAGCTCCTCAAGTACGTCGGGGGAAGCAATGACAAGGGTGAGGGAAGCCACCTCTGTGCGTGTGTATATATACATGCCACATGTATGAGAGGCAGCTAATGAGTCCAGGCTAACTGGGACGCCGCGATCTCAAGTGTGAGACCAAYCTGTTTAGGCAGTGAAATTGCTTTTATGACCTTCACTTTTTATCATATGCTCCAGTTATTTTTATTCATGAAAAAAAAAAAAAAAAGTAATGAAGAATGAGCTTGTGAAGAATGAATTTGTTTATAATGGTCCCTTGAAGTGATTGCCTCTGGTTCTCTACTTGCTGAAGTGTGTACATCAGTAGTCACCTGTAACGGACAGACCACAGAGTAGTTTAGAGGTGTGTATATTTGTTCTCACACCTTCCTCAGACATCTGGTAGAGTTAYATGGTCTGTGTGGGAATAAGAGCCAGAAACAGAGGGAAATGGCAGCTACAGCGGTGTATTTTGGAAAAATAYTGGTCACTGTTGCTGTAGGAGAAGGGTGCCTTTTATAACATGTAGCACAGAGGCAGGTGTGGCATCAAAATGTACAACTAGATGATAAGGATGCCTTGATCTCAGGCAGTTCTGTGTCTGCTTGATACCGAAAGTTGGAGGTTCCCTTGAAAGAGGGAAGGGAAAAGCAAATTTCCCYGCTCATTACCTTTCGGAAGTAATGAGCAGAAAAGCAACATGCGCTTTGTGTCCTGTTCCGTTGGAGGTGATTTGTCAGAGCAACTGATGCATGAGCTGTAATAGCAGAGGCACAAAAACAGGGCTACACTTGAAGAGCCCTTCAGAGTTCATCCAAGGGCTTCATCTCCCACAGTCCAACGTAGTCAACACAGAGAGAAAGAGGTTTGGTTGAAGCAGACACCTAGTGGGTGTTTTGCGTGCCCCAGAGGCACATTCTCATCTTCACTGAGTATATAAGGAGATTGAGGTGAGGAGGAGCCTTCCTAGGCTAAAATTAGCTTTAGTGAACCCCTTGTTAATGCCACAGGTTCCCAAGAATGTGGTAATTTCTGTGTTTGTCTTCCAGGGCTWGGTATGGGCATGACTGCCCCTGTCTCCATCACTGCTTTTCCTGCTGAAGATGGCTCCTTACAGCAGAAAGTGAAGGTATCTCTGAGGATCCCAAGCAAGTTTCAAGATAACCCTCCCCATCCTAGTGATGACAGCATTAAGATTGAAGAGAGACAGGAGATGACCATTTATTCCACGTAAGAAATATGTCTGGGGATTTTTAGTCCCCAGTGCTGAGATGTTTAGGGTGTGCTGAAGGGTAGTGTTGGTTTAACCAGGTGTCTTGCTGAAAAAGGGGTACACCTGGTAGAAAGAGATGGAAAGATCATTAAAGACTGAAGACAAGTGGTTTATGTCTTTTTGTTATGATTCATGCTGCATGGATCTGTAACATGGGTTTTTTATCCTTGGCAAAACAAGTACTGAGGCTAGCCCTGCAGGGCTTTTTTGTCTCATCTRGGGAGGAATAGGCCACAGGAGGGTGAGAATGAATGGACTGAGTCATTCCTCCTCTCTGGAAACCATTGCTGTATTCAGTTTGGGGGATCAAGCTACTTTTTTAGTCATCCAGGATATCCTTTGGCATGGCCGACATCGAACTGCAGGGGTCAACTGAAATCTAAATGCCAGTATCCATCAGGGTAATGAGCAGCATTGCTTCAAACAGCCTTTGAGTGTCTTTGGCTGTCGATTGATGTTATGTTGGACTTGGACAAGCATTGTAAAGCTGAAAAAAAAAAAAAAACCTCTATTTATTCTATGTTTAGCCCTCTGAGTGCTGCTTTTCCTCATTTCTTGAACTATTTTGTCTGGCTTTGGATGGACCCAGGCTGCAGGCTCCTTCTGCGTGGGCTGTGCTGCAAGGACAGGCTGTTTTGTTTCACATTTTCTCCCAAAGACAGGACGGTGAGGTGCAGCCTGACGTGGAAGCATCTTCTGACAGTGAGAGGTCAGCATAAACTGGGCCAGTTTCAGCCCTTTTGAATAGCATTGGGGGCTGTAATTGCTCTCATCTCCTGCTCCTCTCCCCCAAGACCCTTTCCTTGGCCTAGCCAGGTTGTCTCCCCTCGCAGTCTGGCCTCTGTTAGATGGTTGTTCGCACTACAGCAAACGTGGTTGCTGACAGCGTTGGTGGAAGGACCGAGGACTGAGCAGGCTTGGAGATAACGTTGTGCTCCAGGAAACTTGTCCTCTGATATGGCACCCATTCAAGGGGTCAGGCTGTGCTGCTGGCTGATACGTGTGGGGCCGCGGGGGGTCACTGCATGGCTGCCTGCACATAGGCTGGGTGAYCTTTGAGACTGCTAATCTCTCACAGACAAACTGTGTTGGTTCCTGTAGGAGGGTGCCAAGGGCATGCTAGGGGACCTGCATCAACACGTGTGGCTGGTAGAGCTGATGACTGTCTTGTTTGCTCCCTCTCTTCCCTCCCGCTTGCAGGACTGTCTGCTCACCTCTCTGTGTTGGGTTTCTTTGCAGGCAGTTCGGTGGCTATGCCAAAGAGGTGGATTATGTGAATTATGCTGCCAAGCTGAAGTCGGCTCTGGGAAGTGAAGCCGTGTACCGCAAGGATTTCTACCTCTGCAACGGCTACGACCCGCCGATGAAGCCTTATGGGCGACGCAATGAGGTCTGGTTTGTGAAGGAGTGAGCATATAGCTCCTGGTGCTGATGATAGTCCCTATTACTGAGAGCCTCCCCACCCTAGGTCCCCGTCTTCTTCAAAAGAAAATAGCGACTTGGTAGAAGCAGAAAGCCATCGTCCCCTCCCTTCACATGCTGTAATGAACCAACCATTTTAGAAGAACAGCACCCAGCCCTGATGATGCCTCCTTCCCAGGCCTGGCTGCTCCTTCCCTGCAAACCAAGCCCTCAGCCACATGGACTCTCATGATCTCAGTGGCTTGCTCTTATCTTGCCTTATCCTCCCAGCAGGAGCTGAGGCAGATAAAGTGCTTAATTAGCAAGGCTGGTGCCTGACAGGAATCATGTCCTAATGCTGRCAGACTTCTAAGCTTGCCTGAGGCAGACAGGAGGATGTGACCAAAGTGCATACAAGGACTTTTTTTTTTAAGGTTCTTGAGCTTGCTGCAGGTTTAAATGTTGCTTTTATCCGTGCCTTTTGAAAAAGCAGTCTAAAAGGACATGGATGTTTGCTATAAACACAGTCCAATGAAAATGAGCACTATATAATTTTCTCTTAGTGTGARGTGGAGCAACACTTTTACTATCTGACTAAGAAATATAATTTAGAAGAAAATCCGAGATTATGTTTACGAAATTTCTTCCGCTTGAGAGATGGGATACATTATGTCCTGACACCAGCTAGGTGCAGGRCAGTGTGAAGACTTCCCAAGCATTTCCTCGTATTTCTATTACTTGTGTGCAATATTTCTTTTCTAAAACTAGCTTACACAGGGGCCACAGTTGAAATGTGCATGTTACTCTGATTGGATTAGAAGATTGCTAGCTGTGAAGGTAGTTTCTGCTGAGTGTGAATATCAATATTGAAAACATTTGTGGGAATATGGGAGCAACTGTGGTTGCAGCTCCTTTGAAAAGCTCCCTTCTTTAAAGGAGTCAGTTCCAGCAGGTCTGTTCAGAGCACTTATCTATAAAGGACAAAAGCCTGCTTGTTCCTGAAAGCAGGGATTTACTTATCAAACAATGAGTAGCCACTTCCAAAATTACAAGTAGAATAGAAAGGAAGAGTCTTGTTTTAGGAACCGTGTGACTGTTTAACTGTTGTGCATTAAACCAGCATTTTAGCTGTCAACTGTCTACCAGGCAGGCARCAGAACGATGTTGGTGGGAACGTGCCCCACACTGCAGGGGGTCCGTGTGTGACTTGTTAACCTCAACTATAAGAGGTGTATTCMTGTCCTGCTGAAGTGCCTCGAAGTCTAAATGCCTCCCAAAAGCTGTTTTCTGCTCAGAGTGGAAAGAGCCTTTTTTCATGTGGAGGCCAAGTTCTGACTAGCCAGGAGCTTTTTGATACTTCGTTCTTTCTTTTTTTTTTTCTTCCCGGAAAGCAAATCTTAAAAGGAGGAAAATCTTCACAGTAAGAGGAGAAAGAGCTTTGTTGTGAGCCTCACAAAGGAGTTTCAGTTCCCTGTGTGTACGAGCATCTTGTCAGGCTGAGAAAAAAAAAGCAGATGATTATCTAATTAAAAAAAAAAAAAAAGTGTTGGCTGCAGTTAGTTACTGCTGCACAAAGGAGGAGAAATTAAAAGAAAATCAGAGTAGACAAAGAATTCAGGAGTCACAGCCATGAAGCAGTTTTCTGAGGAGCAAAGACTCTTCTAAGCCTGGGTTAATTTTTATTTTTACTTTCATGGGTGAGGGTTAGAGGGGTACACTGCTGCCTGCTTTACATGTTCATGGATTAATTTGGGACTCTTGAATAGACTTTCTGTAGGTACAGTCCCTTCTGACTTAGAGTGGTGAATGTTTTGCAGTAATTGAAATGTCAAAATTTCATTTTTTTCTCAAAGTTTCTCAAAATTTACCCAGTGAAATCTTCAAAACTTGGGGAGGCTGATAAAGAATCTAATGTGAATAGAGCCTCAAAGTTTTCACAACATGAATATGCACTTCCTTCAGTAGTAAAAGTAATCAAGCCTGTAGCCTGCTGCTGGCTAAGTGGCCTGTCCTTTTGCATGAAGTAAATAGGGCATTAATTTCATAGACATGTTACTAGCATCAAAAGTTATGCAAGCTCAATTGCCTTTTCTTCACAAGCGAAGATGCCTCTATTCTGTCTGCACTTTCATAGAGCTAAAAAATTTTAAAACACATTAATATTGTGGAGTACAGTTTTTGTGCTAATCACTGACTCCGTGAGTTTGGTGGAAACTGTGGATTTGAAAGACCTTAGGTTGCCAGTGTATCAGAATCTGTCTTATTCTTTCTGTTTGTGATACTAATCATGACAATACAAAAAATCAGTATCTATAAATAATCATTTTTCCCCAAATAAATTGCTTTTATGTATCTTGGTCTGACCTTATGTTGTGTGACTGTATGTGAGATACGAACTTGTACAATAATCTTTCTCCAGTGGTTTTAGCTACTGAAAGTCTTTGACTCATGATTTTGTRCTAATGTGGGAACTGAGGGGCCTACTCACCTGAGTAAAATCATGTGTTCACTTGTATGTTCTAGGGCTGGGAGAAAGAGGTTTGGCAGTTTACAAGCAGTGTTTAGGCGTATATTAATAGACTGTGATTTTCATCATGGTCTACTACCCCAAAATGGAAGCCTTGCTGTCACATTCAAGATCCACCTAGCTCAGTGTCCTGCTGCCAGGGATGGACATCAGTGGGCACCTCATATTAAAACATCAGGGCAACTGTGTTTTGATACCTGCTGCYGATATTCCCCTGGTGTCTATTACATTTTGGCTCAGGGATTTTTGTTACTGTGTCCCATGTATTATCCCTTTGTGCTCTGCATTTTGACCAAAGGCCGATATGGTTAGAGCAGCTGTGTCCCATGAAATACACTCTTTAATCAGTGCTAAAAAAAAAACCTCCAGAGGTTCTGTGCCCCCTCTCCATTTGTTCTCCAAGGAATAGGAGCGTGGGACACATTGCCTACAGATCTCTTTTCTTCTTAGGCACTGTCACAAGAAAACACTGAAATTGAGACATTTTAATGCTTTTCTGATGTTCAGTAGGGAGTCACAGTGCTAGCTATTGTGTCTGGATTTAAGAAGATAATGGAAGGAAATGGAAGGTGGCTGTTTCTCTTGGTTCAGCCCTGTTTGCAACTGCCATGTGGGTCAGTGGGGGTGCCAGAACCAAGGCCTGTGGCCTCCTCCCTGCGTCTGGGAAGAGCTATGTGCTCTGCAGCTGCCTTTGCTGCATGCTGGGCTGCACAGGGGTAGCCGAGGTGGGAATAGCYCTGGGCTTCCAGGAGAGCCTTGCTGCTAATTAATTGATAGCTGCTGTAATGTTTCTCCTCTTCAGTGCTCAACCCCATGCTGCAGAAGTACTCTCCTTCCTTCCCTCTCAAATTAGTGGTGACAAGCAAATCCCGTGGTGTTTCAGTGAGGTGTGTGCAGGGACAGCCGTGACAGTCACCACTCCGTGCAGAGCAGCAGCATGAGAGCGGCATGGCCAGACACAGAAGGGGCTGCATTTAAACGAAGCCAATTTCAAAGCCTGGCATTAATGGGAATTCTATATACATTATGTAGATTTACCCAGCAGTTTCCTAATCTGGCTCCCTCGTTTGTAATGCACTTGGTGAGCATTTTCCTCCTGGCTCCAGGAGGGGCACCGGCTGCATCAGTGTGCCCGTTGCAGCTTGGATCAGGGGTGATTGTGAAGTGGCGGGCCCTGATCAGCAAATCTGAGCACATTTGGTGCAGACTCAGTGCTCACAAACAAAGCACCAGGAGTGGTGCTCCGTGCAGGTTCCACATGAGCTGGTGAATCGGTGCCAGCAGCAGGGACTGAGCAGCTTTGAGCCAGTGCTTGTGATGGGGCTGGCTGGTCCCGCAGTGGGCTCACTGTAGCCTGAGCTTGCAAACCATATAGGTTTATACATGCAGTGTAGGTGTAAAGGCYTCAACACCCACTGCTTTGATCTACTACTTGCCTTCTATTATCACAAATTGCGAATGAAAACCCAGCTACATTGAGAACATTCRCAGAGTGAAGTTTTAAGCGTACAAGTAGAGTCAGAGCTTTGTTAGCTTCTGAAAGAAAGACTTTCTGTTGCAGACACATGCCTAAGCACATCTAGCACTGCTAGAACAAGACAGTCTTTAGAAAAGAGCTAATTGGTTAAGTTGTCCATATAAATCCAGCTACTACAATGCTTTGGGGGGATGGATGATGTATGGTGAATGGAGAAGTGGCGTCCTTATTTTGCCATTCTCATCAGCCACCATGGCAAAAGGGCATGAGCAACTCTTATGCTTGCAGTGGTAAATTTCCAGCTTTGCAAGGATGYCTAAAGGCAATGGGAGAAGCAAGGAAGATGGTGGCTCCTAGCTCATGTTGTCCTTCTTGCTGTAATTACAATAATACCTCTTTTTACAATATCACTCTAAACAGTGACTCTCCTTCTTCTGTAAAAGCATTTCAGCCACACTGAGATAAAAAACAAATGCATCTKTCTTAACAGGACCGTAAGTAGCCTTAGATGTATAACGCCTCTATAAAACCGCATGGCAACTTGATTTATCAGAAAAGGATCAGTGGTAAAGTGACGTCTCTGACAGTAACGAATGAAAGACTTCTAGCTTAGCTACTTTGTCTCTGCTATCTGCCAGTGCCGAGAGCAAGCTGGTTTTGTCAGATCATTCATAATCTTTCTACTTCCCTCTCAGCAGTGTTTGGTGTACAAGGATGATTTCGGGTATGGCAGATGCTCGTTTCCTAGTCTCCTGCTGGAGCTGCTGCTGGAGTTGCTGACTTCATTTCCAAAGGGTATCTGCCTAAGTGGGCACCTGAGTCCATACTCACCTGGGAATTAGCGGCATACCACCCTCCATCTCCATCCATCCTCCATTTTTTTGTGGAAAGAAACCTGAGTGTAAGAGCTGACAGGAGCCAGGCTAATCTTACATTGGGTTTGGGGTCTGCTTGGTCAGAAGACCACAGCCTCAGGGCAGCCTTGGCCACAACTGCTGTGCCATCTGGATGAGAGGTGCCTGAATTTTAGGTAGAGATTTTTTCAAAAGTACAAATGGAAGTGATACATCCCGAAGCACCACTGTGATTTATGTGTTTCAGTATCTTTGAGGATCTTCCTGCCTAGAGATCAACTCAGTGCCATGTGCCCAGCACAGAATTCAGCCCCGTGCCTGCTGTCACATCGTTCTGTAGCCCGGCCTGTAGTGCAGATGTTCAAGCCCCCCTCCAAGAGCCCATAAGATGACACAGATGGGCAGCTTAAACTATAATCCCCTGACCAGTCATAATTGCTTTGAGGGATCAAGAAGCAGCAGAGATGCACTGGAGCTGTGAGGCCATCAAGGGACAACTGGGCTGCAAAAGCAGGTTCCCAGCCTTGTGATTTGTGGCCCTGACCTGTCCCACGACTCACGGGCTGTTTCGTGGGCAGTGCAAGGCCCGCAGCGTGACCTGGCACCTGGGGTTCCTGTGCTGGGACAGCAGAGCCTGGTCCCTGTCTCGGGCAGGCAGTTGCACTGTCCTGCCCATGACTGAGGTTGGAGTCTACGTAGTTTTGAGTCTGGTGAGTACTTGGAGGGAGACTATGTGGAGCACTGGGTGGTACAGGCTGGTGCTTGGGTCCACCTATAGTGGGCAGCTGGGAAAAATGTTGTCTTAATCATATCCTTCTCCCAAGAGAAAGCAGGAAAGCATTGCCATGGGAAATATTCTCCCTTGAATATTTTTCCAGAGCTTTCCATTTCAGCCTAAGATTTACAGTATCCCTAGTGTTTCATTTTTTTTCCTAATTGGAATCTGAAGAAGCTATTGAAGTGTCTTTTGCCATTAAACAAAAAGTTCATTCACCTTCCCACTTTACTGAGAAAGTGCAAGAGCAGCAGAATTAATTGTTGCTGTTAGCAAGAGACAAGAGGATCTGAAATTTGATATGCATCATACTCACAGTTATAAGGCCAAGAAACAAACATGAACTTTCGCCTAAGGCAAAGTATTGAAACAAAAGATAGTGCACAGTGTGACAAGTTTGGACAGACTTCTCTACTGGCAGCTCTCTCCAGCTCTTTAATCACGGGTTGCAGAATTTCTCAATCCTTTCTGTGACTCAGCTTTGTAAGGAAACATTTTTCAAAATCAAAACGGGCTTGCTAGTTGAAATCTCTTCTAAAAAATGTAGTATTATTTAAGCAAGGTACCTCAGAGGGGAAGGTAGTAGGGACTTTGTTAATGCAATACTTCTACTTGGAGCAACTAAGTCCATGTAAAAACTTTGCTCCCATTTTCTAAAGCCTTATTTCCAGTCTGGAGTGAGAAGGAAAAGTGTGTGCAGATATAGGAAGGATGGGGTGGAGGCCCCAGGGCAAGGATCATGCTGAGGGTTGGCTGGTTGGATGCAATGCCTTGCATGCCCCATACATTGCCTGCTGTCTCCCTACCCTTGCAGCCGTAGTTGGGCATGGGGAGAGAGGTGAATCTCCTYTGTTAAGAGATATCGGCAGCACAGTTAGACATATAGGAAGAAACAGAGTTGCCTTCCAGCTTCCCCAGCTCTGCTTTCTACCTTGTTAACCCMCCAGCAGGCCCGAATTGCTCCTTGCTTCCCATCTCCCTCTCTTGGCCTGTGCATGTCTCCAAGACAGYAACTTAGGTCAGGCTGGCCCTTGGCTGTGTCGCAAAGATTGCATGCAGGAGCCAGACTTCATTTCCTCCCTGCACYGGGGTCAGGGAAGCAAAAACCTCCCTGGAAATCCCCAGTAGTGCTCCCTTTGCTTCTGCCATGCTGCCATCTGCTTTGATCCAGCCTTTGCTGTACGCCTTTATGGGGAGCAATACTCATCCTCTGAGAACATCTTCTGCACCCGTCCCAGGAGGGGATAAATCCTGAGCCACAGAGAACAGCCCTGAGCACCCGCCCTGCCCCGGAGAGGAGGAGAACGGAAATGGTGATTTTATGAGACATTGTGTCTTGGGAATCTGGCCTCAGACTCCTCCTGATGGGAACCTGCCCAGCCCATTTCAAAGCAATCGAGGCAGACCTGCAGATCTTGGAGTGCTCTCTTCATCTGAATGGACAAGCAGGGTTTGCAGAAGGACATCAGCCCTTCTAT